CTGAAACATCGCACAAAGAATAAAAAAGCAGTTGTTATCCTCAAGAAAACGTGTCATGTATTCACGTTCGTCCAACTTCTAAATGCCTTTCAAAACCTTCAGAGTAAATTTAGATACGTCAAAAATTTAGTTTCACAATAGAAACTGAAGCAATATGTGATAGGAGTTCAATATTCTATGTGTTAATATACTGGTCACAGAGTGAGTGGAGTTTGGAAAGTATTCGGGTAAAACATTGCTGTAAATCATCTAAGCGTTTATAAATACATGAGTATATACAGTACACTACGGTTATGACGATTTCAAAGTGACCACTAATTTTAGTTCATTGTAACAGGGATAACCTACGTCTTCTATTCTCCCTGATTATAGTGAGTGAGTCAGTTTAGTTTTACGCCGCACTCAGCAATATTCCAGCTATATGGCGGCGGTCTGTAAATAATCGAGTCTGGACCAGACAATCCAGTGATCAACAGCATGAGCATCGATCTGCGCAATTGGGAACCGATGACATGTGTCAACCAAGTCAGCGAGCCTGACAACCCGATCCCGTTAGTCGCTTCTTACGACAAGCATGGGTTACTGAAGGCCAATATTCTAACCCGGACCTTCACGGGTCCTCCCCGACAGCTCGTCATACGCATTTCGACTAAAATATACAGCAAGCGTTCGGGAAAGAAACCCAAAATACCAGTTCATTATATTCACAATTCCTTACATAAGCTTGTTCATTATACAGTACGGTAGCTGACTGTATAGTCTATGCCCGCTCCGGGAAGGGAAGATTAGTTCCACGATCCACCAAGTGTGATGTATGTACGACAGTCAACAAATTAACTGAAACAGACATAAAATGTTCATGTATTCCCATGCTTCTGGGCGAAAGCGTTCGCTCGTCACAGCGGTTCAATTCCCACAAAGGTATAACGTGTGAAGGCCATTTCTTGTGTCTCCAACCTTGATATTCCTGGAATATTGCTGAAGGCAGCGTAAAGACACACTCATTCACAAGCTTCTTTCCCAACGTAATGTTTGTATGAGGAAGAGAGTTTATATGGATGTCAGTTTCAAAGTATATCCTTACTCCTTCATCAGGTGAATGAAGGAGTACGGATGAACTGATGAAGGAGTAAGGATATACTCCAACACGTTGTGTTGCCCATAATAAAGAAGTTGACATCCATAAAAACTCTCTTCCGTATGTGTATCACTTCTAAATGCCATTCAAAGACGAGATGTTGGTATGTTATGGAATCCTAGAAGGGATCTTGTCGCGTTGTCGCCCTCACAAGCAAGCAAAAAGTGGCAAAATTAACCAAACAGTGCGACATGAATAAAATACGTCGCATTGTCGCGCATTTCAAGTTGTTTTTTACATATCTTAAATGGGGCGACAATGCGACATATTTTGACCTTGAAAATTGTCGCTATGTCTCATTGTCGCCCTTTGGGTGAATAAAAAAAATATTATTCAAAGCGCGACAATGCGACAAATGGCCAAAATGTCGCATTGTCGCACGTTGGTTAATTTTGCTACTATGTACTTGGTTTGGCGAGGTCGACAACGCGACAACGCGACAATGTCCCTTCTAGGATTCCATAGTATGCTGATAACACTGCACTGAGCAGTACTCCAGCTATGTGACGGCGATTATTCTACACTTAAGACCATTCTACATTTAAGGTCACAACAGACGGCGGTCTGTAAACAAGTCTGGATCAGACCGTCCAGTGATTGGCATCATAAGTATCGATCTACGCAGCTGGGCTACTCGGAGGGTTAAAATTAGTGACATTACAAATACGATGACTCCGAGTTCCTATCCTGTGCCCGGAAGGCGTAACAGTTAGTTTTGACTTAACTTACGGAGTGAGTGAATGTTGAACGGTGCAGTTAGTGACGTTCAGGCAATTTCACTTTAAACTGGAAAACGCAGACTCATCAGAAATGTTTTATATTGATTTCAATCTTGTATCTCACCACAAAATGGATATTCAGACTTTCGTTATATGTTACTGGGAAAGTAGGCAGTTGCCACTTGTTTGTTTTCGGTGGAATGATGATGTCTTATGACTAAAAGCATGGGGTAACTCGGGGACTTTTGGAATATTTATATTATTATATGCTGATGATATTGTCCTTATGAATGACAGAGTTGGTTGTTTCTGCAAAAGCCCCTTTATATGTATACAGAATCGGAGTTAATTGTGAAGGTATAAACAAATATTTGAATAGATAACTAAGTGTAGAAGTTACAAATATTTGGACATGTAATTAGCTTCATCGTGATAATGAGGATTTTAAAGTTGAAATGCAGCGACAAAGTGCGATGGTGAATCTGTTAAAACAGAAGGGACGTTGTGACGGAAAGGAAGTCAAAACGAGGCGACATCGATGTCGTCCGAGTTCGGGCAAGGCTATTAGTCAGATCAGGGGCGGATCCAGGCGGGGTGCGGGCGTGCGCACATGTGGTTCTAAACTGCGGTCTGTACTGTCGTACGCTTGGTATATGGTAGTTTAGTACCGAGCTGTACCTGTCTAGATATCAAGTACATGTATATATTTATGTATATATAAACAGAAAGACACACCGTATATGAAAATATGGCGTTCATGCAGTAATCTTAAAACCGACTTGCTCAATGCAAACTAAAAATCAATCGAAAATCATGTGGGTTAAGACTATAACATGCGTTTCCCAATTTGAAGTTAATGTTATTTCATTTCTCTCTCAAAACCCGGATGGCAGCGTCAATTAATTGGTTTTTAAAGCTGTGCATAATTAAATTCTGTCAGCTAACAGAAATAAGTATTTCAGGATTGTGTGTCCAACCACGTTTGCTGTAAATGCTATGTTGGTAGTATTGTATCTATATATTGATCATTCTGTACTGTTGGAAAGGGAAGGGTCAAGTAAGCTTCCGGAGCTTTTTTCAATCCTAGTGAGCACGAGAGCACGAACAAAATACGCGGAAATAGTAAAACAGAACTGGTGTATTTGAATTGATGCAATAAAACGGCGGCACTACGCATGCGCCAAGTGACCCCAAGACATTTGCTCAAGTGAACGTCTGTGACAGGCTCTCAAAACCAAGGAGATGTTTTACCCATCATTACAGATTGATGGGAAAGAGTTCTGTCAATCAATTATTTAACAAAGTGTGGGCGTAATTTGAAACCGCATGAAACAGATACCCAGGAGATATACGAGACCAGTCCTGAGTTATTCATGAGGGAGTACTGTTGCATAGACCATCCGACCCTGCATTATTAACAATGACAGACATAACAGCTACACTTCGCCATTATCGCTCACCTTAACTTCGTATACTATGTTCTTTTACCCTGGAATTTTGAAGCAATCTAAAACAAAAGGACAGTGAGACAGACTATAGCAATACTTTGAATGTTTGGGGTTTTTTTTAATTTGAAATCGAAATTTGAAAGAGAATATAAACACTCTTCAGTGTATGTACGTTTATAGTTACATTTCATGACTGGTTGGCAAATAGTGACTCATGCATAACTTGTGACAGTTGACATTGACTCTACTAACCTCTTGGATGTCCATACTTTCATTCAATTTAACACTTTCCCGTAACTAACAATGTCAAACATACACAGAGTCCAGTAAACACATAGGTCAAAACAGAATAATGCTCAAATTTAAGAAGCTTTCGCTTCCAAATTAAACAAATACGAAACCGACCCTCAACCCTCCTCATCATCAACACTATTATAAGATGTGCGCCCACATCAAGGTATCGGCTCAGCAGCATCTAATGCCACATCTACGTCAATACATCTCCATTACCATTGGCAGTGCGAACACCTTCAAAAACACTATCAAGTGATGCCACCAACACATCCATGCACCCCCACAGAACAACTCAATATGACCAGATGATTTCAATATGACCTGATGCCACGCCTACACCACACCAACACATCAATATGACCTGATGCCACGCCTACACCAACACACGCCTCAATCATATGACCTGATGCCACGCCTACACCAACACAACACATCAATATGACACGATGCCACGCCTACACCAACACATCAATATGACACGATGCCACATCAATATGACTGCCACGCCTACACCAACACATCAATATGACCTGATGCCACGCCTACACCAACACATCAATATGACCTGATGCCACGCCTACACCAACACATCAATATGACCTGATGCCACGCCTACACCAACACATCAATATGACCTGATGCCACGCCTACACCAACACATCAATATGACCTGACCAACACATCAATATGACCTGATACACCAACCACGCCTGATGTCACGCCTACACCAACACATCAATATGACCCGATGCCACATAATTAATATGACCTGATGCCCTGATGTCACGCCTACACCAACACATCAATATGGTACGCCTACACCAACACATCAATATCACGCCTACACCAACACATCAATATGACCTGATGCCACGCCTACACCAACACATCAATATGACCTGATGTCACGCCTACACCAACACATCAATATGACCCGATGCCACGCCTACACCAACATCAATGGCAACACATCAATATGACCCGGGATTTTGTTTCAATATGACCCGATAGCCACGCATACATCAACACATCAATATGACCCGATGCCACGCCTTCACCATATCCGCATTTTTCACTATTAACAGATTATATCCACCCCTATCACACTCACTCACTCACTCAACCCCTATCACAGATTTTAAAAGGCCATGTATCCTCTCATTCCGGTTGTGTAGGTGATGCTGTATCCGACAACGAACGCATCTATATATGGACAATAGTGCTTGGACACATTTTCTCAAAACAAACTAAAAAATGCAGCTCCCAAAGTCATTGTTCTAACATTAATACTCTAACACAAGTTCCACAGCACTATCCGTACATTAAGCACCTGTCGGCGGGTGTCCCGTTACGCTGCTGGTATGCTCCGCGCTCACGACCCGTTAACCATTGTCCTCGCAAACTGACACAGCGCAGCGGCGTGGCCAGTCTGTGCAACTGTTGTCCACAGCAAAGGTAAGTGACCTCTGCTTTGTTATCATATTCAGTCAATACACACCTTATTGATTAATGCCATAACAGTATCGATATGTGTAAGTGTCACCAGCTGTGTACGTTAATTGTCACAATTTTGTTAGTTAATATGAGGTCTAACGAAAGATGTTCAAGGAAGCTTGCAACAATAGTAATAACTGAATTTTCAAACAAGAAGCAAAGGACATTCCTCTTATTCCTTGACTGGTGTCAATGCTCTAATTCAGCAGATTTACGTTTTGCTGAAATAATCTGATTATGAATATAATTAAATTTGGTATTGATATCAAAACGAAATGTTGATAAGGGGCGGGACCGGTCTGGCTGGGGATTTTGTTTTGCTAGCGGCAAGATATCGTTTTGGTTATAACAGGACAATTACCTTTCCCATTGTTTTCTTCTGGAACAAATTAGTTTGTCCGAAACAGTACCCAGAACGCTATAAACTTGTTTCTTTTCTACTGTGGTGTCGAGAGATCCTGTCAAATGGTTTACTTACTGTTACTGTTTACTCCTCGCTCCTACGACGTGTGAACGTCTAGTACCGACTCGGACGTTGAACACACGCCACAATATGGCACAATATTAGCAGAAAATAAAAACTATAATTTCCGGCGATTACGCGTGTTGAAAGAGCAGGTGGAAAACATTATCAAACTTTGAAGGTCAAAGTTCAGCTGTGTTCAAGCTGAGGGAGCTTAGGTAGAATGAAAAACAATGCAGATAACCATGTGGTGGACTTCTCGTAGAAGTTCTGGAACTTGCCCTGATGTATCCGATGATTCGTATCTAAGTCGACCGTAGTTTGAGCCCGGAGACCTAGACGACTTATAGTGCAGATAGAATGGTCCATCATGTCTAACATCTTGCCTCTGGCTGGAACATATTTTACAAAAGAAAACAGTTCCTTTTTTGCATGGGCTATATGACATAGTATGACATAGTATGGGGCCATCTGACGACTGAGATAGTATGGGGCCATATGACGACTGAAATAGTATGGGGCCATCTGACGACTGAGATAGTATGGGAGCGTCTGCCAGCTGACGACTGAGATAGTATGGGGCCATCTGACGACTGAGACAGTAGTGGACCATCTGACGACTGAGACAATAGTGGACCATCTGACGACTGAGACAGTAGTGGACCATCTTACGACTGAGACAGTAGTGGACCATCTGACGACTGAGACAGTAGTGGACCATCTGACGACTGAGACAGTAGTGGACCATCTGACGACTGAGACAATAGTGGACCATCTGACGACTGAGACAGTAGTGGACCATCTGACGACTGAGATACTATGCGCAGAGCCCTGGTGGTTGGATGTTCCTTGTCAGTATGCCCCGGTCATGCATGTTGAGAAACCCATATCACTCCACAACCCAGAGTGCAGTCACTCACCAAGAGTGCTGAATTCCGCTCAAATCAAACACTTGTACAGATAGCCATGCGGTTTCCGGCTTGATAATAATTCATATACATTATCAACGCGTCATAAATACAGATAGGATGAGATATAATACACTGCTAAAAATACATTCTTTCATATTGCGATAGTTAATCTGGTATGCCAGAATCTGGCCTTTGAAACTTCTTTTGTGTGGTATATACGCTTGTAACTCAGTCAAACTCTCATAGACTACCGATCGCCTCCGTGGTGTAGTGGTTAGAGCGTCCGCCCGGAGAGCGGAAGGTCGCGGGTTCGATCCCCGACCACGTCATACCAAAAGACTGACTGACTGAGTTTGGTTTTACGCCGCTTTTAGCAATATTCCAGCAACATCACGGCGGGGGGACACCAGAAATGGGCTTCACACATTGTACCCATGTGGGGATTCGAACCCCATACCAAAAGACGTTAAAATATGGTACTTGTTGGTCCCTGCCTGGCGCTCGGCATTAATGGGTACAACAAGGACTGGTCGGCTCAGAGTCAGTATAATGTGTCTGAGTGGGGTATTCATGCTTAACTGCGGCATGGTATATCAGTGGGCTAGCACTATAAAACCAGCTTATGTCTGGGCTAGTACAAGCAGCCGCACATACACACACACACGCATGCACGTCGTCATATGAGCGAAATATTCTCAAGCCCGACGTTAAACCGAATTTCACCTCACCTCACCTCATAGACTACCACTGACAACCATCTGTAGTAGTGGTGGTCCGATTAATTGAAATAATCGAAGATTGGTCGCAGTGATTAAACGACCAAGCAATCGATCATGTTTTCTCATAATCGAACACAAACAATTCTGGAACATTTGTTTGCATTAATAATACTTTTCACAAGACTGGTTTTGTCTGTCATTAAATTTACATTTCATAATCACTACAAGCTCGTTCCATGTCATGATTGAATTTATCTTAAAGACTTCAAGAAATTTACGTTCCTAACATACTAGTCATCCTTTAAAGATGTGAAATTTACCAATGCATTTTGTGCAATTTGCAAAAAAAACCCCAAAGAACTACATGTTTTTTCTTTATTAAGAAAAATAACCAGGAAAATTTCATAAATGACGCTAATCAATTATTTTCGATGATTGATCGGTTGTAATGAACCAATCATCAATTATAAGATTTTAACCAATTCCCAGCACTAATCTGTAGTGAGAAGATAATAACCAACGATACTTGAAACAAATGGAATTGAATGGAAAATGCATTTTACATGTTATTTAAACATATGTGTGAGTTGAACGAGCATTTCTTTATTCTAACGCTGCAACTACGCCGACAGTACTTTAATGTCTTTATCATATTATTATTAATAATACATACGGTTTCATGTAGACAACATCTTTAAGAAAACCTTATCTCCATAATGTTTTAATTAATGTTTCAAAATTAATCAGATGCCCTAAGACATGTCATATGTTCATATTAATGTTGACCCGTGAATATCCGGGTTGGAATTGATCTTCAGTAACCCATGCATGTCGTAAGAGGCGACTAACGGGATCGGGTGGTCAGGCTCGCTGACTCGGATGACACCGGTTATGGTATCCCAATTGCGTAGAACGATGCTCATGATGTTGATCATTGGATTGTCTCGTCCAGACTCGATGATTTACAGACTGCCGCCATATAGCTGGAATATTGCTGAGTGCGGCGTTAACCAACCAATCATATTAATGTTAAAATATTCCAATGGCCTAATCTGCTATCGAACCAAACGGTAACTACAGAAGAGTAAGTGAGTATGGTTTCAAGCCGCTTTTAGCAATATTCCAGCAATATCAGACACCAGAAATTGACTTCACACATTGTACCCATGAACGGAATCGAACCCTGGGCTTCGGCGCGTCGAGCGAACGCTTTAACTCCTGGGCTAGAGATGAGAGCTTCATTCTCTTCAAAATGGATGTTTCGCATGGCGTACTTTTAAAGTGACTGTGCACGTAGATGACAACTGCGTAGTTAATTACGCATTAGCTGCGAACCGGTGCAACGTCCTGCTCGGATTGCGCGGGGGCGGTGGGGTAGCCTAGTGGTTAAAGCGTTCAGTCGTCACGCCGAAGACCCGGGTTCGATTCCCCACATGGCTACAATGTGTGAAGCCCATTTCTGGTGTCCCCTGCTTTGATATTGCTGGAATATTGCTAAAAGCGGCGTAAAACTAAGGTCACTCACTCACTCACTCGGATTGCGCGGATATTCTTCCTGAAAAGTGGAGGTGTGTCAAACAATATCGGGAACGTCCTGAGCAGGCTTGTCGGCTACTTTGCACAAATGCTTCTCTGCGCAACTTCACCGCGTCTATCAGTAATCCGATGTCAGAGTCCTAATTGTATTTAAAATGTTCAAATGAATTATACAGCAGTCAACTTTTCGTGGGGATAATCTTATACGTGTATGTCATTCTCCACAAATGTGCATATTATGAGAATCAGGTTTGTGTTTCATGGAGAGCTACAATTATCCACAGCAAAAGTGGATTGGAATAGATCACATAGATAAGATAATAATTTTTTCGAATGGAAAATGTTGGTTATATTGTGAATGTACATAACACAATACATAAAAGACAACATACACGCCATATATTAACGACGATAAGTAGGTAAGGTATTGTACAGCACTAAGAATAAACCAGAAAGTCATGGTCTAATGGCAAATAGCTAAACTGACCGGCAAAAGAAAGTACACAAGGTTTTCAAGAGGTCATTATCATTGACCAAGAGTACCTAGATACACAAACATAATACAGTGGTGTTAAAACATCTCTACTCAACCTGAGATAAAAATCACACGCATACTACAGAAACACGTGGCGTCACACATGCGCAAGTTCACTGGTGGTCCTGAAAACCAGTTTTCAATCACATAGAGGATAAGCAGGTACTGAGTTACACACAATACATGTTCACTACCATCACTTCAGTATCCTGCATGTCCACCCCTTGCATCAATACAGGCACGCAGCCTCCTTCTAGACGAAAACGTCGGACAAGGTCACGTGGTGTGCGACGCCATTCGTCCTGGAGGGCTTGTGCAAGTTGCTGTCTATTCTGTGGCGGGTTAGGGCGTTTCCGCACGCGTCTCTCTAGTGCATCCCACATGTGCTCGAACGGGGACATGTCTGGAGAACGTGCTGGGCACTGTAGAACGTTCACTTTCACTTCCTCTCGACGAACAACTCGGGCCCAGCGCAGTATGTGACGTCTGTGTTCAGGGGTCAACACCTGTCCTTTGAAGGGTCTGTAGGCTCTGATATCTTCTATCCGAAGACGTCTAGCCACCGTGTTTCGACTGACACGGTGATCAAGGGAATTCGACGCTGATGACGTTACCGTCAGGAAACGGTTCAGGGGTCAACACCTGTCCTTTGAAGGGTCTGTAGGCTCTGATATCTTCTATCCGAAGACGTCTAGCCACCGTGTATCGACTGACACGGTGATCAAGGGAATTCGACGCTGATGACGTTACCGTCAGGAAACGGTTTCTCAGGCGTAACGTTCTCAAATGCCGGTCTT